AAAATGCACGCAGGAGACGGGGATCAAAATTGCCACCTCATTTTGCCCAGTTGGAAGCGTTTCATCAGGGAGGGCTTTGGTTGTGCTGTGTGATGTTAGCCGGCTCTCTCCTGTGTGGGACGAGCTCTGTGAATAGAGTCTTATCTTGTAAGCACAATGCAAATAGAGAGCCAGATGGTGCACTCCTAAAATCTGCAACAACTTGGCCCCTTTGTGGCTTTTGTCAGTGCAGGCTGTAGTGTATGCAGAGTGGGGGAGGAGACTAGAGTGAAGGTTGGAAAGGACTGGGATTGTATCACTCACTCAGCAATCATACATCCTTCTTGTCTCCTTCTCTGTGTTAGAAGCTGGCGGTCCGGAGCTGTCCTGTAGGGAGTGCGAAGCCCATCCCGCTCATCAAGGCAACCAGCAACCAGGGCATCGCCATCTCTGTTGTTCCGGGCAAAGCTCCGGTCACTATGGTGACTGCCCACCTCAATGGCCAGAAAACAGCTACCGTCTCCACAGCTTCACCGGCAAACAGTGTTGATCCCCCGCAGTCTGCACCTATTAACCTACAGACAACTAGCAAGCTGGTGGGAGGCAACTTAAATATGGCAACAAGGAGAGTCTCGGAGATCTCTCACGCACAGGTATGTACCTTCCTCCGATCAGATTCACCGACTGATACTTTTTTTTATAAACCTTTCTGAGATAAAGTGACAAACAACACTTTGTTATGATTTCCTCACCATCCCGGATCTTAAATTGCAAATATTACTAGCTGAAATTATTCACAGGTTTTTGCTTGTATTTTGGATAAGTTTAAAAATTATTTAACAAACTAATATTTCATTGACACTGAGAGCAGAGATTGGTTTGTGTTTGTGAATTTGAGATAATACTTCCAGGGGTTTTATGATTTTTATCTCCCATGCTGTTGGTGATTATGTGACTTCTATTTTCTTAATTTACTTTTTAGTCAGTCTACCTTTATTTAGCTTTGCCATTGATAGGATTATTAATTTTCCTTTTAAACCGGTGATCACTCTGATAACACTTACGAAAAAGCATTTCTTAAATATTAACTGACAGAAGAATTCACTACTTTCTTATATGTTCGTTGGACAGATGCTATGTTAATACATATATGACTTGTGTGTGAATAGTCTCTCTCTGACAGACATGTCAGTGCAGTAACAGAGGCAATCCTAAAGCTTCAAATTGAATAAATTGATCCGTAACATAATCAAAACTTTTGGTTTGTGAAAATGAAATATGTTGACAAATGTTAAGATGTTTGAATGCACTGGTGATCATAGCAAAGGTGAAAATCTACTGCAGAAGAATTGTCAAAAATAGCTTCCTATTGTGAAAAAAAGCTCTGTAAGTGTTGATCAGTTGTTAATGTAGGCATAGAATTGCCAAAGAACATCATACAAGCCTAACCCAACATGAACAACAATGGAATGTCCAGATTACAGTTTGTTAAATTATTACAGAATGCAGAGTTCTGGAATAAAGCCGTATGAACAGATTACATGTAAAACAGTGTTATGGCTCGGACTTGTATGGACCCCACTCGGATTCAAATAAATTCCTCACAACTCACTGGATGATCCTTTACCTTGCTGCTGGATAATCCCAGTGGAGCTTTTAGGACCAACATTGGGAATGTTTTTAACTGGCCATGTCTATCACATGACTTGAATCCAACCAACCATGTATTTTACTTTCTGAAGATGGAACTGAAAAGGAAAATGTTGCAAAACCATCAGGAATCGAATATGGCTGCAGTGCAGGCTTTAATGGACCCCAGTATTACAGGCTGTTATGACATGCAATGGATATGCAACCAGATACACAATCTGGTACTTCGAGATTGAGATTGTTATTGAGTCATTTTGCCATTGTGTATTTTAAGTATAGGCACTAGAATTCCTATATCCAAATGGATTTAAATCTACTCAAGTTAAAGCTAAAAGCCTTCATTTGATCGTTTTAGTCTTTGGTTCATTTCAAACCAAGTTTGCTGGAGTACAGATTGAAATAAAGCTTCAACTGGTTTTCTAATACACGGACGTCACTTTGAGTAACACAAGATGTTTATTTACGAGAAGCTATTAGTGATATAAAACAAGCCACAGACCAATATCTTGCTTTTAGGTCGGAACGTGCCGGGATGCCATCCACACTTATAAGAACACGACTGTTCTGGTTGACTTTGATTTCGATTCTTAACCTATGTTACACATCTCAAAATAATTACTTTTTCTGAATCATGATTGTTTTCTCAGAAGAAGAGATTTTATCAGCGACAGTATGCAAAGACCATAACCAATATCTAATTATATATGCAATGTGAATGGTTTTACATAATTCTACATTAATGAACCCATTGTTGCTGTTCATGATTTGGATGTTTGTCTCAAGATGAAGTTCAAGTTATGGATATATCACAATGATTCAGGAGAATCCTAAAAAGTCTTAAATTTAGTGCACTCTCTCTATAATGCATCCTGCTGGATAGGTAGAAATGTTTCCCTTTAACAATATAATCTGAGAAATAGACCATGAACATTTGTTGAAACAACCTGCGTATTAAACAAAGCTTTACAAACATTCAAAGATAATACTGTAACCTAACCTACGCAGTGTACCCAACGTGTGTGCGAGCCTGGACTGTCCCTTTAATAATATAAACCCACCCAGTATAACTAACTGTAACCTAACCTACACAGTGCACCTAACGTGTGTGGGAGCCTGGAGTGTCTCTTTATTAATATAAACCCACCCAGTATAACTAACTGTAACCTAACCTACACAGTGCATCTAACGTGTGTGGGAGCCTGGAGTGTCCCTTTAATAATATAAGCCCACCCAGTATAACTAACTGTAACCTAACATACACAGTGCATCTAACGTGTGTGGGAGCCTGGAGAGTCCATTTAATAATATAAACCCACCCAGTAAAACTAAGTGTAACCTAACCTACACAGTGCACCTAACGTGTGTGGGAGCCTGGAGTGTCTCTTTAATAATATAAACCCACCCAGTATAACTAACTGTAACCTAACCTACACAGTGCATCTAACGTGTGTGGGAGCCTGGAGTGTCCCTTTAATAATATAAACCCACCCAGTATAACTAACTGTAACCTAACCTACACAGTGCATCTAACGTGTGTGGGAGCCTGAAGTGTCTCTTTAATAATATAAACCCACCCAGTATAAGTAACTGTAACCTAACCTACACAGTGCACCTAACGTGTGTGGGAGCCTGGAGTGACCCTTTAATAATATAAACCCACTCAGTATAACTGTAACCTAACCTACACAGTGCATCTAACGTGTGTGGGAGCCTGAAGTGTCCATTTAATAATATAAACCCACCCAGTATAACTAACTGTAACCTAACCTACACAGTGCATCTAACGTGTGTGGGAGCCTGGAGTGTCCCTTTAATAATATAAACCCACCCAGTATAACTAACTGTAACCTAACCTACACAGTGCATCTAACGTGTGTGGGAGCCTGGAGTGTCCTTTAATAATATAAACCCACCCAGTATAACTAACTGTAACCTAACCTACACAGTGCATCTAACGTGTGTGGGAGCCTGGAGTGTCCCTTTAATAATATAAACCCACCCAGTATAACTAACTGTAACCTAACCTACACAGTGCATCTAACGTGTGTGGGAGCCTGGAGTGTCCCTTTAATAATATAAACCCACCCAGTATAACTAACTGTAACCTAACCTACACAGTGCACCTAACGTGTGTGGGAGCCTGGAGTGTCCCTTTAATAATATAAACCCACCCAGTATAACTAACTATAACCTAACCTACACAGTGCACCTAACGTGTGTGGGAGCCTGGAGTGTCCCTTTAATAATATAAACCCACCCAGTATAACTAACTGTAACCTAACCTACACAGTGCACCTAAGGTGTGTGGCAGCCTGGAGTATCCCTTTAATAATATAAACCCTCCCAGTATAACTGTAACCCAGCCTACACAGTGCACCTAACATGTTTTTTTTACATTGTTCATTTTCTGTATCTAGTGCCATGGAGTCTGCGCCAGTTATAAAGATTGTATGAGTGTAGAGATGCTTAATGTGTGCAAAATAACATTTTATATTGACCTTTCTAGTGTGTTGTGCTACTACATAACAAGACTCCATTTTGATAAAATAAATGCTTTTACTGGGTTTTATAAATTATAGAACATTTATAGAAAAAGAAAAAGAAACAGGGCACTTATTGTACATCTCCGCTTCTCTAATAAAGGTTCTAATTTAGCAAATGAAAGACTGGATGAAAGCCAAATATCTTTCATTAATAATCTGAGAATATGAACCCTCGAGATGGCACACTCACGATTACATTTAATTGTCAGGAGTGTAGGGTTTAAAATATATTCAATGGTGCTCTGTAATTGTCCAGCTCATCGAGTGTAATAAAATTAATATGGCTTGGGCGCCTTTTAACAGTAGGTTTAACCCTTTATGGGCCAGAGGTTGTTACATGTGAAGAGCTCTCTCTAGTATAAGCTTGCTTTTGATAAAGTCCTGAAGGGAAAACCAACTCACGCTAGATGTATCTTTATAATCAAAAAAATCAAAAAGAAGTCCTGTTCAGAAGTTTTCAGGATCCTTCTCCTAGCACTATGCAAAAATCAACAGTTTTTTGCAGCGAAATAGAGTATACTAGGTGAGTGGTATCTCAAAGATACAAAATAACTATATATAACAATAATAAAAGGTAGCACAGGGATGCCTGTATCGAATATAAATGTAACCAAATCTTGCCAAATATACTTTTCGTTACATTTAGCAGTGTATGTATATATAATATTCACTGTTACTGTGCATCCAAACAAACTCAAAAGAAATAATTATATATAAATAGTGCTAGCTAAAGATCCCGATCCAGCACTATAATATATTGCTACCATTCACAGTGCTTTAAAAAAAATAATATAACTGCACTGGAAAAGAAAGACTCCTAATACAACAAAAAACAAGGTAGGGGGAAAAGAAAAGAAATAAAGCCAAAATAAATTAATAAATAAAGTGTCCGGTCCACATTAAAGACCCCCCAATTTATTAATTTATTTTGGCTTTATTTCTTTTCTTTTCCCCCTACCTTGTTTATAGTGCTGGATCGGGATCTTTAGCTAGCACTATTTATATATAATTATTTCTTTTGAGTTTGTTTGGATGCACAGTAACAGTGAATATTATATATACATACACTGCTAAATGTAACGAAAAGTATATTTGGCAAGATTTGGTTACATTTATATTCGATACAGGCATCCCTGTGCTACCTTTTATTATTGTTATATATAGTTATTTTGTATCTTTGAGATACCACTCACCTAGTATACTCTATTTCGCTGCAAAAAACTGTTGATTTTTGCATAGTGCTAGGAGAAGGATCCTGAAAACTTCTGAACAGGACTTCTTTTTGATTTTTTTGATTATAAAGATACATCTAGCGTGAGTTGGTTTTCCCTTCAGGAATTTAACCCTTAGGGTTCACTGTTAATAATATATTTTTGTTTAATTTATAGCATACACTAATTTTAACTATACTATTAAAAGCTATATTTTATTTAGGGGCACTCAATGTCTCCACAATGCTTTTACTACTATTGTAGTCTTCAAAGGGTTAACCCCTAATTGAGTGCATCCCTTTGCTTCCAATTTTTTCTTTTTATTTTTGCTTTTGATAAATATCCTAATTGTTTACCCCATGAGTTGGAGAGTTAAAACTACATGTCTTTTCACAAAGTTTGGAAACTGCCCAGCTGTCTTTATGGTGCAGTAAGGAGTGTTTTGCTGTTGGCCTTCACAGGCTGCAGGTTTTAGTTGAATCTGCTAAGGTGAACTGATGATCGATCCTGAGGAATATTTAGTGATATCCAAGAGATGTGACATTGTTGGGCTTTCTATTGGCTTGTTCTTTAACTAGTAATTAAGTGTTCTTGCATAGCAAGACCACTTAATGTTATCTCACATATATATTATTATTATTATTATTAAGTGTTCTTGCATAGCAAGACCACTTAATGTTATCTCACATATATATTATTAAGTGTTCTTGCATAGCAAGACCACTTAATGTTATCTCACATATATATTATTATTATTATTATTATAGCAAAATTTGCCACCCTAACTCCTCCCACAGTTTTTACACTACATAGACAAAAATTTACCAAAACGTGCAGATTGTTCCCGATCGGATTGCTATTACTTTGTGGAACGTTTCGCCGAATGGTTCACGGAATATCGTCGTTCTTGTGGCGAAATTTGTCCCATAGGAATGAATGGCAAAGCTAGAGTGGGAGCTGGCAAAAGCTGAAAAATCAGGACATGATTTCTAAACTGCCACCACTCCCTTATTTTCAGGCCCACCTACACAAATCTTATATCAAAACGTTCAGCTATCCCTGCTGCCACTAAACATGTCAACGGCTAAGCCATAGTCCTGATAGTTTTCACAATATGACCATTTGTTTGCAACCAACGCCGTCCATTGACATTCATTGAAACTTCACTCTGCAAAGCTCAAATTTGAAGTGCAATTTCTAAACTGCGACTGTGCCTTCATTTTTAATACTTCAGAGACATACTATGCATCAAAATGTAGGTCTGGGTCTTGTGATTCTCACAATATAAAGCTCTTCACTGTAGGATTTATAGTTTTTAAAATACGACCGTTTGAAGATGGCAACCGCCAAAATACTCTGACCTGTGTCAGGCTGCAGCAGCAAGTGATGTCATAGACAGGGCCTTTTGAACACCTGCTAATGTTTTTATAAATGTATGGTTTAATGTAACTGTGCAACAACGTTGCAATTAAATGTGCTATATAAATGATAACAGTTACTCCGCCCACTCCAGTTGTAGACTACTGGTGGAGGCAAGAACACTTCACACAATTTCCCTTATTATAGCAAAATTTGCCACCCTAACTCCTCCCACAGTTTTTACACTACATAGACAAAAATTTACCAAAACGTGCAGATTGTTCCCGATCGGATTGCTATTACTTTGTGGAACGTTTCGCCGAATGGTTCACGGAATATCGTCGTTCTTGTGGCGAAATTTGTCCCATAGGAATGAATGGCAAAGCTAGAGTGGGAGCTGGCAAAAGCTGAAAAATCAGGACATGATTTCTAAACTGCCACCACTCCCTTATTTTCAGGCCCACCTACACAAATCTTATATCAAAACGTTCAGCTATCCCTGCTGCCACTAAACATGTCAACGGCTAAGCCGTGTAGTCCTGATAGTTTTTCACAATATGACCATTTGTTTGCAACCAACGCCGTCCATTGACATTCATTGAAACTTCACTCTGCAAAGCTCAAATTTGAAGTGCAATTTCTAAACTGCGACTGTGCCTTCATTTTTAATACTTCAGAGACATACTATGCATCAAAATGTAGGTCTGGGTCTTGTGATTCTCACAATATAAAGCTCTTCACTGTAGGATTTATAGTTTTTAAAATACGACCGTTTGAAGATGGCAACCGCCAAAATACTCTGACCTGTGTCAGGCTACAGCAGCAAGTGATGTCATAGACAGGGCCTTTTGAACACCTGCTAATGTTTTTATAAATGTATGGTTTAATGTAACTGTGCAACAACGTTGCAATTAAATGTGCTATATAAATGATAACAGTTACTCCGCCCACTCCAGTTGTAGACTACTGGTGGAGGCAAGAACACTTCACACAATTTCCCCAGAAATTGTAACTCTAGTTATTATTATTATTATTATAGCAAAATTTGCCACCCCAACTCCTCCCACAGTTTTTACACTACATAGACAAAAATTTACCAAAACGTGCAGATTGTTCCCGATCGGATTGCTATTACTTTGTGGAACGTTTCGCCGAATGGTTCACGGAATATCGTCGTTCTTGTGGCGAAATTTGTCCCTTAGGAATGAATGGCAAAGCTAGAGTGGGAGCTGCCAAAAGCTGAAAAATCAGGACATGATTTCTAAACTGCCACCACTCCCTTATTTTCAGGCCCACCTACACAAATCTTATATCAAAACGTTCAGCTATCCCTGCTGCCACTAAACATGTCAGCGGCTAAGCCATAGTCCTGATAGTTTTCACAATAT